CCCGAGGCGAGCGGCCCCGCAGCACACGGGTGCTTACGTCTCGGCGTCCTTTCGGGTCTCCCTGCAGCTTAGTGCCAAGCCTCCGTCCGCACGCAGCCCGCCTGCACCGGTTCGTCTGAAGGCATCCTGTCAGCTGTGTTCTTTGCTCGTACTCGTGAGCCGAGGTCAGATACCCTTCTCTTGCGGTTCCAGCACGGACTCCGGTGTGTACAGGGCCCACTGGCTCCTCCCGCCGCCCCCGAAGATAAAACCCACTTACTATAGACGCAGCTCTCTAGTTTTAGTAAAAGTATCTTAGCAAAAGGTGTTACAGAGAAGGTGAGGCCTTTGGCTCCCTCAGATGTTTACAAGATACACAGCATGGCAAAGAGGGATTCTTATTAATAATTTCAGAATTTACAAAAATAGCACAGGGAAAGTTTTTGATACAGCTCTAGGAGCTCTGTCTCTCCACCTCCAGCCTTAATGTTTTGCTTTTATCTTCTTTGATAGCATCAGGGACCACGTCTCTGCTGGGTGTTTAAAGACCTTACGCGAGCATGTTTCTTATCCAAATGTTTTCTGTAACTTCTCTTCCCAGATTACCAGAGAAGATCAGGATGAGTCTACGGAAGCGTTTACAAGATACACAGCATGGCAAAGAGGGATTCTTATTAATAATTTCAGAATTTACAAAAATAGCACAGGGAAAGTTTAATGCTACAGCTCTAGGAGCTCTGTCTCTCCACCTCCAGCCTTAATGTTTTGCTTTTATCTTCTTTGATAGCATCAGGGACCATGTCTCTGCTGGGTGTTTAAAGACCTTACGCGAGCATGTTTCTTATCCAAATGTTTTCTGTAACTTCTCTTCCCAGATTACCAGAGAAGATCAGGATGAGTCTACGGAAGCAAACCCCTAGTGACTTTCTAAAACAAATCATTGGAAGGCCAGTTGTTGTAAAATTAAATTCTGGAGTTGATTATCGAGGTAAGTTCTCTGTCTCTCACACTGAGTAAAGTCATTGTTTCTGGGGAGGCTGGAACCAGATGCATTGCTTTTGAAAAGCAAAACAGTGTGATCCAGAATCCTGGAGTATATGAATAGAGATCTCAGAGTGATGACGTTAAAAATAGAAAGTCAGCTCTGGAGAAACTGATGAAAAGGATGTTAAGGGTAGATTTAGAAGATTAAAATTACTTATTGAAATCATTAGTGTCCTTAGTTCACAGATGGTTAGACTGGACTGTCAGGATCGTTCTGAGTTTCTAAACTGATATTTGTAAAGATTGGCTGGAATTACAATTCTCAGTATGGCCAGGCAGACCCCTTTTCAGTGCTCTGATAGCAGCCCTTACTGGAACTACCCTTTTCTTCACCTTCCTGGTCTCCAATTCCTAGTATAGAGCTTGGTTCAGAAAAGCTTCAAACAGTAAACTGTGCCATCAGTCACAAGCCTGCTCTGACACGGGGGATGAAAGAGTTATTTACCTTCTTGGTTACACAACTGCCTAGACACATGTTGGATCAAGACTCACAGAGACAGAGGAGAAAGCTTAGTGTGGCTTTTGCTGCTGTATGTCCAGTTCATTTTAACGCAGTCCAGCAGTTTTGTTCCAGAGCCTTCCAGCCCATCTGTATACCTTCTTGCACTGTATGTAGTATTATAGGGGGTTTTAACCAGGAAATTAAACAACGCTGTTCAATGAAATGTCTGGGTGCTACTCCCATTAGGATAAGACTATCAGCCTGTCCAGTTTTTTTAGTACTGTCCAAACTTAATTAAAACTGTCATGTATCTCTGTGCACAATTTAGACATTTTATTCTGGAAGGAATGATTTAAACATCCTGTTACAGGTCACTGCTTCACTTGGCTCAGCTTGGCACTTGAGAGGAATCTTCTTTGTGCTGGGACAAGGAATCTTGGTATTATGACAGTTTTAAACTGTTACTGTTCTCTGACAGAGCAAGCAGTGCCTTCTTATCCCTTCCTGTTCCTCTTCAGTGTTTCTCAGCTGACAAAATTTGCAGTGTGTCATTTCTTTGAGAACCACAATGTCTGAGCACTTCAGGTGGGGTTGCTTAAAAACTTCATTCCTTCTCATTGGTCTTTGGCCTCTCAATTCTTTCTTACAGGAGAATGTAGCAACAGCTCATTAAAGTCAGTTAAAACAAGTCATCCTTTACCTAAAGGTACACACAAGGCAAGGCCAAACCAGATTTGGTTTTTGGATGCACTTTCTAATTTCTTTAAGAACGTTGGTACCTTATGCTTGGTAAGACCCATTTGTTACTGCTGCAGGTAAATTACTCAGCTTTCCCCTCAGCAAGGCTAGTTTAACATGTCTGCAGTCAGACCTACCAGGAATTGAACCATAGTTCCTTTGAACGCTTATTTGTTACTGGATTTTTTTCCCCTTCCTTCTTTATTTCCCTCTGCTCTCCTTCCTTCCCACCTGATGTGATCCTGTGGTTAAAAACCTGTATACTGTTCTCATTTGAAAAATACACACTCTGTTTTCTGCAGAAATTTGACCAACATTTGTAAAAGCCAAACATGAAAAAACCCAGCATCTCAGCTTTTGTTGCAAATCTGTCTAGATTCTCCCTCTAGGCTGTGCTGCTAATTTTATGTCTGTACCTCCACCCTCCGAGCCACCACACGTGCAAACGTGGCGTAATGCAAGTGTTGATGTGTAACCCTAAAGTGTCTTTATTCACTGCCACGTGCCGTGCATGTCTAAGAGAAGCAGCCCTGGGAAAGTAATCAGTGATAAATCAATATGTATGATTTCTGTGTGTAGAGATGGATATGTATGCTAAAACATACCTACGTATAGATAAACCAGATAAAGTACTAGCCAGGATGGGCAGTGACAGTATGAAATGCCATTAGTGGCCCGAGAGTAAACACAAAGAAAAGGAGGAAGAGAATGAAACAACCATGAATGCACTCTAGGAACAAAAGAGTTTGTAAATACTGCATTTGTGGCCTACTGACTGGTAGCTTAAGAAAATCCAGAGTCCAATTTTAATTTTGGACAAGCTTTTTGTTTTCTGTTGTTACGTGGAACAATCAGGATTACTGGAGTGAAAAAGAGTTCTGACTTTGGTTTGGGTTTTTTGGTGCATTTAGTTACACTTTGTGAGCAGTCAGTTTTTCCTACGTGTGGAAGCAGAGGAAAGAAAAACATAAAGGAAAATAATGATCCTCAAACGATTACAAGTTGGCAGGAGAACTTGATTTCCTAATTATTTAATGGAAGATATTACAGTAACACTTCTGAAAAATGAGAATGTGTCTTAGAGGAGGATTCTCAGCCTGGAGTTTTCTGCCTCCCCAAGTACAGCCAAGACACTGTATTTTGAGTTTTAATGCCAGGTAAATAAATCAGGTATTTTGCAAACAGGAAAAAAAAAATTTTTACTAATATTGTCTCTGTGTGCCAGGACGGAGAGAATTACTGCAGCTTTTCACAAGTTATGTGCACCAGTAACAAATCTGGTTGCATGCTCTGAGCAATTCTTTACATCTGGTAATCCCCACGTTCAGTTCCTTACATGAACAGTCTGTTTGATCAGGCAAGTTAAATTTGTAGATGACCATGGTTCTGATCTTAAGAGGGGGTGTAGACACCGAGGAGCGATTTTGAATGAAGAAGTGTCCATCATGCTGCTGCCATGTAGGAAGTACTGTGTGAACAAGGTACAGCCTTCAACAGGGGCTAGGAGAAGTGAGAATATAAATACTTCTCTAAAAATCACTGCTACTCAAATGCATATTTTCCTGATCAAAAGAACATCTAATATTATGAATGGCAGAGATTTTTTTTCTTGAGTTGCATTAATTTAAACAGCATAATTTTATCTTTGTGGGAAGATTTCTGTGTCATTTGAAAACCCTTTGCCTGTTGAAAATGTAGAATTTTGTTTACATCAAAACAGAGACTTGCAGCCAATGTTCTTCTAAATCTGTAAGCATGAAAATAAATATGAAAAAGTGTGTATGATGTCATGTATTAAAAGGGTGGTTTTTCAGCTATATCCTCTACAAGTTTTGATGAAATCTCAATTTGTAGTCTTGTCCTTAGGTTATCCAGTTAGACTTAATGTCACACCTGAAAAGGTTCTTTTCAGGTGTATGGCTTAAAACACACATGAGAAGGGACAACTTAAACTCTCAAAGTGGAAACTGACAGTCTTTTGAAAGTCATGCCTTAATGACTTCTTTCTGCCACTCCCACTCTTACATCAGCTGATAAAGTTGCTAATAGAGTGCTTGGGGTTCCTCGCTCCCAGCTTAATTCTTTGAAGCATACTCTGATCTACTGACTCATCTGGCCAAGCTTGGGCTTTTCATTTGTTATGAAGGTACAGGTTTTTTCAGTACTACTCAAACACAATGCATTTTTGTTTATTTTGAAATAAGTTTAAGCTGATTCACTTTTAAACTGTCACTGTCTTCAGGTGTCCTGGCTTGCCTGGATGGGTATATGAATATAGCTCTGGAACAGACCGAAGAATATGTAAATGGACAATTAAAGAACAAGTATGGGGATGCATTTATCAGAGGAAATAATGGTAACTCTTCCTCCTTATGTTATTGCTCAATAGAAGATTGTGTTTTGATATTTACATCTGAATTTGAGGAGTGGCTGAGGTGTAAGCAAGCTGCCTGTAAGAATATTAGTTTTAGGCTTTCTTGGAAACCTTAACGTATTTACTTTTTAGAGGTTCACTTTTCAGCATCTGTGCTTTTTTGCATTCCTGTGGGCCCCTCTTTGCCTCTGAACTTGAAGTTCATTTAGAGAAGCATGCTCTTTTCTAGCCTTCCATAGAGTTTATTTCCTGTCAGTTGACAGGTTTACTCTTTTGCAGTTACTGCCTGCTTAGATGGCCTCTGCTCCATAGAATTTTGTGTTTTGCCAGGCAAACTACTGCATAAATTTATGAAACAGCACAGATATTGATGACATCGTAATGTTTTCTTCTGATGCACTTGTCCAGACCTGAATGAATCCTGTTTATTAGTACTGGAGGTTATTTTCATCTTTATGAGTAAAGATTTTGCCACCAGTCAAGAAAACCACTTGCACTTTCCTGTTGAGCCTTTGAATATCCCAGTGCAGTAGGTGGATTTTAGTGCACTTCAAGGACAGTCCCAGGCTGCTGAAATGACTCTGTGGTATCAGTTAGGCTGTAATAGCTGGGCGTGCCAGGGAGAAGAATATCTAAAAACAGAAAAGGTTCACAAGTCAGATGTGAAGAGACTTGTAGAGAAGGTAAATGAAGCAGAGTTTGATCAAGTTACTTGAGAAGAAAATGGAGGACAGGAAGGAGGGAGGGGATAAAAAGAAACAAAACCTGAATCCCATGTTACAAAAAGAGTCAAAAAGAATGTAACACCAGTGTGAAAAGAGCATTCTGGGAGGAGAACTAATCCTTGAATAAGGCCAAATGCTTTTTGCAAGGGATTTGGATTATTATGCTAAGGCGTGCAGTGACATTGGGGCTGGAGAATCAATTATGGCAATAAGAATCGAAAAGAGTTAAAACAAATAGATGAGAAGCAGGAGGCTGAAGAACAGGCTGAGCAGAGAACTTAAGACATCCCAGGTTCAGAAGCACGATGCAGTTTGATGTTGTGCATGGACTTGTTCTAGGTATATCACCGGCTAAGCAGGTGGAAGATGTCTGCTGCTTTGTAGGTAATTGTTAGCTTTGCCAAAGGGCTTGCTATTTCCAGCTTTTGTTGAAAGATCATAGCATTAGTGTGCGACACCCATAATTCTCCTGCTTAGAAACTCTCATGCTCCCCTCAGTAATGCTGCAGGGTAGCTGGCTTTATTCTTCCTCTGTCCAGCCTGCATCTGCTGGAGTGTAGTTTGACTATGAATATAATAAATACTGAACCAAAGTAGTACATAATGTGTAAATTTCATAGCATTTCTTGAAACCTGGACTTAAAACTTTCCTGACTTTGTTCATGCTGAATGGGATTCATTACAGTGTTGTTTTACAAGCCATGGAAATAAGATGTTTTAAATAAATAGGCTTCTGCACATTATTTACCAGGGCCCTCATGTGTGCCGCTTTCTCCTTTTCACAGTATTGTACATAAGCACGCAGAAGAGGAGGATGTGAAGATGCCAGGAGGAGGCTGTTTTGTACTTGCGAACTTCTTTGAAGTGATGAGCCCTATTTGATTTGTAGTTAATAATCCACAGGTGAAATACAGAAGTGTTTAAATATTTTTTTTTAATAAATGTAAACCAGTGTAAACTTCCTGAATGTTTTTGTTTCAAAGCATTGCTTTGTTCCACTGTACAGAAAAAAAATAAAAGAGAAGCATGTAATAGTGCCGCAAGACTAATTCAAAGCAACAGCTCGGTTAATTATGCTAGCAATTACAGAAATACCGATTGGAATGTAAGCAGGCATGGAGCAATCGCAAATCACAGCCTTGTATTGATGGCAAAACAACAGTTTAGTTGATACTGGGAAGTGCGAATGTTTTGGTGACAATGACCTGTCCCTTTTGGAAAACACAGGGTCAGCTTTAAATGCCAATCTACTAAGACTCACTGGTAAAAAGTTCATCTGTCAAAAAAAAAAATCTTGAATTGTGGATTGAATCAAGGGATGTGACAGTGACACTTCAGCAGTTAGGGGTGGGGGAAGAATTGAATCAAATGGAAGAAAAGCCCTAAGGGTGAGAAGCAAGCTGTGTGCCAGCAGAGAAAGCCAGTCACAGGTGAAAAGCTCTCAGCTGATATGCTGACACAGCTGGTAGCTGCCTCACCTCCTGCCTCTGTACTCCTCACCCTACCTCAGCTTGCAGTTACCTTTTTTTCCTGCATCTCTACCAAACACAATGGGCTTCTTCAGTAAGAAGCAATTTTAACTAATATCTAAAGCTACTCCTGAAACCAGACTAGGAATCTAAAAGCTTTTGTAAACATGCCATATGTATCCTTTTCAGACAGTTTGCTCATTTTTCCCATCCACTTCCCACCACAACCTAGTACCATCTATATATTCTCTTTCTTTATGTGCTGGCCAGAAATGAGAACAAATATATTAAGCTTATAGCATGGAGTATGCATTAGGGAGGGGGAACCTCTGTGCAGGCAGGGTCAGAACTTGTTTATGTTTTGCAACAGTGCTCCCAGGTAATCAAAGCTGAGTAAGTAAATCCAGCTCAGTTTTACACGAGTGCTTACACCAACGTATAAAATATCTTTTCTTTTACATGCAGTCAGCCAAGGGAAGAAGAACCCTGAACATTCAGATATTTACTGCACTTAACATCAGATACTCAGAATGTTTTCTTGTTCCTCACGACAAAGTTATACGTTAGGGTAATGTACCTCATGGTGAGGTTTAGCCAGTTTTTTTAAATGAGTTTTCTGAAGCCCTGCTTTATTCTTTGGGCAGTTATTAGTGCCTCCAGCAACAAAAATACTTCTAGTTGTGGATGAACACAAGACAATTGTGTGAATGTAACATTGGCTCATTCTTTCCAAGTACCAGTAGCTCTAATGCAAGCAGGGTATAGTAATTTTTCAGTTATCCAACACAGAGAATGTGGGTTGCAAAATTTATTTTTTTAAGATCAAGAAATAATTCTAAATTGTTTTGCAATCAGTAGTTAACCTTTTCACATTAAACACTTCAAAAGCCACTACACAACGCAGAAATAGAGATGCTACTTTATAATACGCTTCAGTAATCTATCATTTTCCAACAAGGGTTGAAAAGGTTCTAGGATGCAAGTACAAAGCACCAACTTGCTCTTCTGTAAGTGACCTCTTAATAAAAAAGAGGAAGATGTACCTCCAAGAGGAGTAAGCAGTTTCTTATTTATTTTGTCATCTATATGCAGCTGGCAGGTTTCTGTGTGCGTTCATTCCTGGGGACTGTCTGGGTTTTTGTTTGTCTTTATTTTAAGACAGGATTAGGATTTTTTCCCCCCTCTTCCTTCTCCACCTTTCTACCCTCCTTCACCTACCCACCTATAGCAACACATTTTGCAGAGATTTTGATTTACTCCCAAGAATTTGGATCACTAACTTTAAGTGCAGTTCTGTTTCTACAAGTGTAGTTATAGAACTTTTTTCAATTGTGATTTCTACTTCAGATTGTCTAATCATATACTAAACTCTGAACTTAGAAAATGCTATGTAGCTTACATGCTGAGGGGTTTTTAATGTGTTCTAGATCATGAAGTCACTATTTACTATGTGAGGTAGATAGGAAAATGTGCATTAAGATAAGCTGTTGTAAGTCATGTTCAAATTTCAGAAGTAGCTAAAGAAATTAAACATTTAATTCCCCACAATCACTGACCTTTATGTACATTTTACAACATTCCCCCCCTCCGATGTTTAAATCAAGTGAACATTTGAGCTTGACTTCAGTCAGTGTTTGGATGCAGTCTGTTTTGAGTTGGATAAAACATTCATCTTGGATTCATTTTACTTACAGATTTTGTTTTGACTTACTGTATTCTGTAGGACAACATACCAGCCGCAAGTAAATCAGACAGTGGCCAGACAGCTTTCAGAGTAGCACATGGAACACTGTGCAGAGTTTAAGGTGAGGCATCACATCATACATGTTTGTAAATATCAAAGTAGAATGGTGTATTTCACAAACTCCTGCTGCTTAAAAATGACTCAGCCTAACTTGTGAGATCCTTATCCCATTGGGAGATACAAACACACTCTTACAAACACTGTGTATCTTCACACACAAAAGACTACATTAGACACTAATGCACATGTCCTTCACGTTACCTCATTTAACCATATCCTAATGCTCTTGCCTCAGTAACTGTATAAAATGGTTTTACTTGTGGATCAAGCTCTTCTAGGTCAGAACTGACAACGAAACATTCCTTGAGCAACTTAAAAGTGCTTGTCCATCACTTGTCTTAGAAGAATGCACCCAAAATTAAGTAATACAAAACTAACAAATAAAAATGAATTTCAAAGGCTAAAGCTGCATTCGTGTACATAGCTAGTACTTCTACACAATGAGATCATTTCATGAAACCAAGGCCATTCAACCACTACCCCAACCCCTTCCATACATTCAATTCACAGACAGACTCTTAAGAGGAGCAATAACTCTGGATTTACTACATCCCCACACCCAGTGTAAGTTTCTTGCACTTGAAAAGCCAAACTAAGCCACCTGTCATTAAACAGAAGCCTGGCTGGGAGCAGCAACACAGCACAGGCTATGCAAACCAGAGAAAGCAAGCCTGGGAGAAGGAGGTGAGTACTCACTGTGTAGCAAGGCAGCCAAAAACCAGCTTACTACTGAAGCCTGCAGTGCCCTGGAGTGCCCCTATATAAAGGGAGCAGAGCATGCTGGGAAAGTTTTCCTTTAAAGCTACATGCGCTGATGGCCACCCAGTTTGACAATTTGTTGCTACCTGGTTCCTAGTTCAAAGGGAATCTAACGCAAAAGACCCTGAACCTGATTTATTTGAGTTCTTTCTATCTTTTTCATAATGTTAGAATGAAAAAACATGCACAGACCCCTTCTGGGTACGATGTGCCCGTTATGTCCTAAGGCTTCTACCCAGCTCCAACAACCAGCTGTGCCCCACAGCTGCAGGTTTCATAGTCGAGAAAGCGTGAAAGTGTTCGCAAAGTGATTGCCCACAAATGTCTGACTGATGGTACCAAAGCATTGCCTGATCTTTAGTGTGCCAACCTGTGCCTGTGGCCAGCTCCAGCCCCGTGTCGGTTTGTATTGATCTGCTGTACTGATGCTGACCGAGGGACCCTTGAACATTCAGGAGCCAGTGATCCATGCAGCAGCTTCGGGCTGGGCTGGGCTGCACGCCTGGCGTGGCTCTCAGCTCTCCGTTGGGCTGCACGGATCCCTTGGCTGCAGGACACCTCCACCAGCCCTCCGTAATGCCGGAGCTCACGGGCAGCTCCCACTCGGCACCACCTGCCTGGCCTTGCCTTTATCTGACAGAGCAGCAACAAGTTCTCATGAGAACCTCCTTTAGAAAGAGGGTTGTTTCCTTGTGAGGAAATTATAAAATAGCTCAAGTGATGAAAAGGGAGAGCTGCTCCCCATGGACAGGGTTGCATCTGCTGTGAGCAGCACACTGTGGGAAGTCGGTCTGGGCCCCGGCCAATGCTACATGAACGCGGGGTGCCCAGCATCTGCAGGGGTGTTCAGTTTGCTTGCTGTCTGTATTCCCTGTCTGTCTTACTAAAGCTGTTGTTAAGCTATTTGTTGCTGGGCCTTTCTTACTGAGATCCAGAAAGAGCCCTGCACCATCTCTCTGTCTCTCCCCTTAACCCCCTCCTCTAGCACAGAACAGCTGCACAGGTTGCAGTAGCTACAAATACAATGAAGGGTTGTTTTGGGGTTTTTTAGGCTGAATTTGTAAGGGAAGGAAGCTCACATTATATGTTGCGTGTGTATATGTGTCGGTTCATTCCCAGCTGTAACATCTGAGTCCACGGACACGCTTCAGTAAGCGTGATAAAGGAACAGCAAGAATAGCCAACTGGATAGAAATGGAAGGACCTGCCAGTACTTCTGCCAGCCTTCTGCCTAACTAGATGTCAGAGAAACCTCCTCTTTTCCCTGGTCTCCCCACACACAGAGCCACAGACATGCACAGGTCAGCCCTGACATGCCGGTTTGTGGGCATTGTTCTCCATGCTCCCTGTGGGACTACTGTGGGTTTTTACCGCTCTCCTACCTTGGGTTTTTAACTGCTCTTCTCACAGCTGGCCACCGCTCTTTGTTTTAAAGATGATCTGCAATATTCTTAAATAAGATGGTGCTGCCAGCTTCGTTGGTTTAATGACCAGTTCCTTGTGATCTGCACTCAACTAACTGTTGCCACCTTCGTTCAAGCTCTGTGCTTGATCAACCTTAATCAACTCTTCTATAACACCCACCCCCCCCCGCCTTTGTTTACAGGACCCAGGTGGCCCCTAACTGACTGGGAAGGACTTCTAACTTGTTATAACTCTGATTATCTTCCAGCAGCAAAGCATTTCTCAACCTGTCAATGAAGCAACCAGCTTGCTGTTGAGTGACAGCTTTGGATTGCTTACATCCATGCCTGTATTAGATACTGAGCTCCACGGCACCTGCTCCGTGTCAGCTGCTCCACGACTGCTGTCCCTGTTGTGCGCTGACGATGTGGAGATGTACAAGCAACCTGCAAGAAGAAGAAAGTTTCTGCATCAAAGAGCATGGGATGTTACTGGTTTTATAATCCTTCTGTGCACTTTGTCAATGAAATTTAAAATGATGTGTTTTATAGTCTATCTTAATTATGAAGCTATTACAGAGCATGCACAGTTTTCCCTAGTGCAATTTTAAAAT